TGTAGAGAATGGATTGACAAGGTTTTTTTTACCACGAGCACAAGAATTCAACCAAATGAATATTAAAGTACGAAAGGCATTGTTCTAGAGCTATAATGATCTTCATTGAAATAGAAAAGGTGTATTTACAGATAAAGAAGAAAAACAACAACCCAATTAATATGGCCAATGGATCCTCTATATAAGTGTGATTTTATTCTAATGGATTTATGTAGACTTGTAAATCCACTTTAAAACTAGGTTTAGCTCCCACTCAATAGTTTTCACTCACTTCACAATTTTGCCTCTAACCCGTTAGTAACTTAGTTATGATTTTCCCTCAACAGTCTTAACTCTCTTCTCAATTTTGCCTGTAAACCTTTATTGACTCTTATTATTTTTCCCTTTTCAACGTCGTTTCATCTATGATTTTTTTAACACCATTTACAACATAGATGCACACACGTGCCCGCACACGCATAAACACCTACTAAAATTTGAGTGATTTTATTTCTCATGGGCTGAGGGTACCACCGCCTTCGTAACCATACAACCACTGATTGATTCTCACTTATGATTTTTTTCGTAGACTTGTAAAATGTATATCCACTTTGCTTTTACTTTGTATTGATGTATACCACTATTGTTATAGAACTCAATCACTTGAAAATGCTATGAGAATACCTTTCGAAACATAGTAGGGCATTTTGGTGACCGGGCTCCATTTAGCCCTTTATTTAAAAAAATAAAAATTTCAAACTTATCAGTCCAAAAAAACTGAAAATAGCAAGTATACAAGGATGGAACATATATATGTATGAAAATTCGGGATGAAATACCTTGCAATGCGGCCTGTACAAAAAGACAAAAATTCCGAACTTTGAGGATCCTATCATGTGTTGAAAAGTCTTGGAATTTATTTTCATAGCCCTAGTTTTAACGTATTTTGTCCTAAAAATTTACACACATGTACATTATGTCTCTATATATATCTGTATTTTTTTTCCAATTTTTAGAGATGTAACAAATATGAATTTTGAATTTATCGAAAGGAGGCCTCCACGAAGCTCGGCCTCCAAGAGCAATTCTCGTTCGAAATATCCCTGTAAAAAAACCTTTCAAAACAAGATGTGGGCGTGCGATTCCCCTGCCGCATCCCGATGACTGGCAGGCCTGCACGAGTTGCGTGTGAGTTTCAAAACAAGCAAACAAAACCTGCGCCACCTGCGCCACACGGCGCAGTTAATCCGCCCGGCGACGCATGCGCCGGTGGGACTCCAGGACCAGCCCTCCCGTCCTGAGCCGTCTGCTCGCCGGGCCCGCGGCGGCAGTTAGAGCTCCCCGATCTGGGGCTGTGCGCGTGAAAGCGGACGCGCGATGTGCGGGGCGGCGTTAATCGGGCTGTCGCGCAAAAGCGTGGGCCGGTAACGCCGACAGGCTGGACCGGGCCCCGGCCGTCCCTCCGTCGTCCGTCCCACGAAGAAGTGACGCGCGCGCGCCTGGCCCAGCCCCAGCCCCAGCTCAGTTTAGTTGGTGTCGTGCAGCCGCCATCAATTTCCTCACCTAGTCCTAGAAATCAATTATCTCTCTACTGATTTAGCTATGGCTTTAGCACGCAATAAATTAATTGTTTCTACTGATTGTATAGCTACGGTGAATCACCTGAAGGAGGAGTACCTGGGGAGCTGGTTGAGGAGATAATAAAACGAGATGTCTTTTCTTTATCTTCAATGAAAGTGATCCATGAGGAGAGAGGTCTGAATGTAGAGGAGCATCTCCAATAGATATGATGCGTTTTACATCATCAAATTATTATTAGAGTAAAATATACATCACCAAAAAGTGGTATTTTTCATTACTAAAAATCTTCAACTTTAAGGGATGATGTAAAATACATCACCAATAGCTAGTGCTTCAATAGGTGATGTAAAATACATCAGCCGCTCCACGGCCGGCAATGGGACGGGAGGTGGTGTCGGAGGAGGCACGGCAACAGCAGTTGCACACGAAGCAGCACCTATCGGCGACACCAACGAGGAAGCGATAACAGCAACCGCCGCAGTCACCTTCGTCTTCTTCGCTCGGGACGAAAATGCGGCGAGGTCGAGTGACGGCTGCTTTGAGCCACCACCTCGTAGTTGGTCGCGGCTGCCTTCTTCCTCGCTGGCGGTTCCATTT